CCCAGGTCCAGGCTGCCGGGCAGCAGTGATGGACCTGCAAGCCCAGCCGTGTCCCAGGCAGCGCGGAGCTGCGGGACCTGAGTCCCGGGGCTTCTCAGGGGATTGAAGAAGTCAACCTGAGCTCCCTCCCGAGGCTGCCACTGCTCCAGAGGACACGAGGGAGCTGGCAGGAGCTGGCGGTGAAGGGAGCGAGCTACAGTGCCCTAATTTATGGGCAAGACACGGGCCAAGCAAGCCTCCCTGCCTGCAGCCCAGCACAGGGGCTGTCGGGATGGGATACCTTTCCGGATCAGGTACACGTAGCAATCCGTCAGCAGGACGTAGATCAGCTGCAGGTTCCCCTCCATGTGCCCGGTGCTCATTCGGATCATCTGTACAGAGAGAGCAGAGCGCTCAGCCCGCGGCCGATGCAGGCGCGGAGCTGGTCCTTCACGGGAGATGGACTGCGACTGCCTTACCCTGAACAACTGTTCCTCGTTCTCCCGAAAGACATGGATCATCAGCAGGAGGAGATGGTTGTTATCCACCCTGTGAAAAGAGACAGTAGAGGATGGACACGGACATGGGTGCAGGAAGGGCAACCCCCGTCCTACTGAACGTGTCTATGACTTGGGCACCTCTTGGCCCCCCAGGACCTTCTCCTGACCCTGTGCATCAACTTCATCCTGGAAAAGGATGGGCTTTGCCCCCCACACCAAGGACAGAAGGAGAAGTACCAGCTTGAGCTCAGTGTTGTTTGGAAGATGCTCTCCCTGCTGAGCAAACCCAGCCTCACCTGAACTCGGAGGGATGGGTCAGCTCCGAAGGGCTGCCCTGCCCTTCCTCCACGCCGGAGTCCTCGGCGCTGCTCGGGGAAGGGCTGGGCTGCTCCTTCTTCGGCTCATGGGGAGCCTGGGGGTTGGGGGTTTCTGTCTGGACAGTTTGGGTTTCATCACTCGCCCCTCCAGACTCTTCTACTGCCCCAACTGCTTCTCCTTCTCTGCTTTCTTCTTCAGGAGCCTCAGGGCTATCAGGAACATGTGGCGGTTGGCCAGGCCCTGGAGCGTCATGGTGGCCACTACCTGCTGCAGCAGCGTTTGGACTCTCGACGGTAAAGCGGTAGAAGTCCATGGGGGCTGAAATCCCCTTGCTAAAGTCGCCAGAGGACGATCCATCTGGGGTCTCCCCTGGCGTGCCGGTCCGAAAGGACTGCCCGGGGGGCTCAAGAGGGGGGTTCCAGCCCCTGGGATCCAGCTGCCCGTTGAGTCTGTCCATCACCTTGCTCAGCGGCTGCCCCACGCTCTCCATGGACGTGTCCTTCATCTCGGGGATGCGTAAAGCCAGCTGGCTGAGGGCAGAGCCCTCGCGGCCCTCTTCCCGGCTGCCCGGGGCAGCGGGACCATCGTCCCTCTGCGGGTCCTCTCTGTCGCTCAGCCCGTTCACGCCGCTGTCTCCACTGGCCTGCTGGGTCTCGGGCACTGCGGGCGCAGGGGTGTTCACCGCCTCCTCAGGCTTCGCTTTCTTCTTCTTGCCCGCTTTCTTCTTCTTGGCTAACCTGTGCGGCGAGAGCAATAGAGATGTCACTCATCTGTGCCTGCTTTGGCTTCTGCAATAGGGAGAGGACTGCCACCCTTTCCCAGCAACCTTCCTTTGCAATTTTCCCTGTGGCAGAGAAACCCTTCTGTCAAGAACACTGCTCACTGCGTGCCCACATAGCGCCCCCGTCTCCGGGCCAGCTGCCACAAGAAAAGCAGGGCACGGACACGGTTTTCTCCCTGTCCAACAAAGAAAAAAAGCATCGGCTGCTGGACACAGTGTCTTGGGCTTCCTTTGGCTGCAAAGGGGATCACGAATGGATGCGGAGCTGAAGCGACCCGGGATAAATCCCTGTCTGAGAGGAAGATGCTGGGAAGGGAGGTTTCAAGGGGACACGGGAATGCTGTGTCTCTGCCTGCCAGAAGAGGGAGGTGCGGAAGTGTTTGGGCCTCCCATGGCACCCAAACTGCTGACAGGTCACTCATTTGGGCAGCGAGCATGGTGCTCCCCTTCCCGTGTGTCTGCCGGCATGTGACGTAACCCAGCTCCTCTGCTCCTTCCAGGAAAAACAGGGCATGAGAACAAAGCACAGGCCTGCTGGGATGGTTTTGGGGTGCTCCCATCCCTGGGTGTGAGCAGAGAGAGCCTTGAGCTCTCTGGGTTTAAGGGCTCTGAGGGACCCCCTGTGCCAGGAGTCACACAGTGGCAGGCAACTCTGCGGAGGCGTCTCCCTCACAGGTCTGGCCACAGCTCGCTGACAGACAAAGGGGCAGCAGATCCGAGACCCAGCCTTGCTGCAAACCTGCCACCAGCTGGAGGAAGCTGCACATAAAGCCCACGGCTTCCCCCGAGCTCTCCCATACAGGCTGGGGGGCAAAGGTGTTTCTGTTGAGCCAGCCTGCAGCTTCGCAGACCTGAGGGACCGGCGTCAGTCGGTGCACGGAGATATAAACCCACTTTCTTGTGATTTTATAGAGGCTACACCGCAGATGCTGCCTCCGTGGGGCTGGAAGGGGTGGCACATCATCACCCTCTGGTGACGGGTGGCACTCGGGGCATGTCTCCATCCCTACCTGATGACCTCCAGCTCCGTGCAGCTCTCGGACTGGTCCGTCCCTTCAGGGGTGCCTTCTGCTTTCTCCCGAGAAGCCGTGTGCACCGGCGTGGTCTCGGCGGAGGAGGGCACATCCGCTTTCTCCTCGTTGAAGGGGTTGTAGCGCTGCGTCGGGCTCTTCACCGAGGCCTTGCTGCTGTTGGCCTCGGAGGCGGTGGAGCGTGGGCAGCTGAGCGTGTCCGTGAGGTCTCCATCTGCAAAAAGAGGAAGGGAAGAGCAGGATTAACGTCAGCTTGGGCACCTGCATCAAGTCAAATCAAGCAAAGCTGCGCGTCGGGGGGCTCGGGGCGCTGCGTGGTGACACCGTCCCGGGCACCGGCAGACCAGCTTAGCTTCAGAGATTGCTGCGGGCAGCAGGCCCTTGGCGAGGAGGGACAGAGGCCAGCGCACGACCCGGCATCGCTCTGCGTTTTGCACCCGCTGCGATTTAGGCAATGCCTGGAAATAACAGCTCGGTCACCAGGGAGCCGGCAGCTGGATGAAGAAGTGGAAGTAGCGTCCTCGGGAAGGAAGTTGAGGGGTTTTGGGGCCACGGCGCTCCTCAGCAGGACGACAGCGAGTGAACGCAGCTGCTGCCCCGCGTTGCCGCTTCTCCCCCGCGACGGGGTCTTGGCTAGCAGGGCCGAAAGGGAGCTGGCCCACAGAGCAGCCATCCTTATGGAGCTGGCTGCTTTTCTCGGCTTGCATGAGACCCCCACGGGGGGCTGGAAGTGTGGAGGGGACACACAGAGCATTCACAGGGGTCCGAGGACAGCAGGCTGCACAGACAGGTCACAGCACAACCGGCTTGGCCCGTGTTAGTCTTCAGAGGGCAAAGGAGCAGCGGAGAAGGGTGACAGGAGCCATGCTCGGAGTTACCGTCCACAAAGTCACGGTTAAAGGAAGGTTCCCCATGCCCTTCGTTTCCAAAGCCAGCTAGAAACCTCCCGCGAGGTGGGGAGACCCCTTCCCAAGGAAGCCCCGGCCCCACGCAGACCGATTCAGGGCGCAGGTTTCGGGTAGGAGAGCGAAACCTCTCATTAAAACGTCTAATAAAGGCAGTTTTGTGAAGCT